GTAGTGAACATGGGCTAGTCTTTTAAGAAGTTTGGTCATGAAAGGAAGGAGGAAAGGGATCAGAATGTCAGTAAATAGGAGATCCTTATTTGGATGAAACTTTTTTTCTTGCATTTGTTAGGCATTGACAACAAGGTTTCCCTGATATCCCACCCATTGATAGAAGAGGGCCAGGAGCACCCTCAGGGCCTGGAAAGAGAAGGTGAGAATCAAGGCAGGGCTGCTGCTGATGGTAATGCTGCTGCTGCTGCTGCTGCTGCTGCTGCTGCTGCTGCTGCTGCTGCTATTAACAGTTAACATTTATTGAAATATGTACCATGTGCCACATGCTGAATTTAAATAATTGTCCCAAGACCTCATAATTATTATGTGGTAAATCTGGATTTGAACCTAATTAATCTAGAACCAGTGTCTCTCCCTAGATAATGAGAAGCAGGGAAGGGAATAGGTTATTATGACCAGTTGGTACAGGAGTCCCATGCCCAGCTGATCTCTACTCTGCTTCTTCTGAGAAAATTCATAGTCCTCACCTGGCTTCTGGCTTCCAAATATCTGCTGTGGTATTAGGAACATGCTTCCTTGTTTTCCTTTCCACTAGTAACTACCCCCTGTGGTTTTCTTTAAGAGTTTTTCTTAGCTTGGGGTGCCTGTGTGGTTCATTCGGTTAGGCTTCTGACTCTTGGGTTCAACTCAGGTCATGATCTCATGGTTCATGAGTTCAAGCCCTGCATCAGGCTTTGCAATGGCAGTGCTGAGCCTGCTTTGGATTCTCTCTTTCCCTCTTTTTCAGCCTCTCCCCCACTTGTGCTCTTTCTCAAAATATAAATAAATAAATTTAATATTTTTTTAAGTTTATTTTTGAGAGAGAGAGAGCAAGTGCAGGAGTACGAGCAGGGGAGAGGGAGAGAGAATCCCAAGCAGGCTCCGTGCTGTCAGCACACAGCCCAATGGGGGCTCAGTCCCACAAACCATGAGATCATGACCTGAGCCATGGCCAAGAGTCAGAGGCCCAACCCACTGAGCCACCCAGGTGCCCCTAAATAAATAAATTTTAAAGAAATTTTAAAAAGAGTTTTTCTTAGCTAATTTGAAGGTTTCTTTCTTTTTTTTTAAGTTTATTTATTTATTTTGAGAGAGAGAGAGAGTACACACAGGAGGGGCAGAGAGAGGACGAGAGAGAATCCCAAGCAGGCCACTATCAGTGCAGAGCCTGATGTGGGGCTTGAACTCAGGAACTCTGAGATCATAACCCGAGCCAAAACCAAGAGTCGATCGCTTAACTGACTGAGCCACCCAGGCACCCCTTATTTGAGGCTTTCTAAAATGAGTTTTTTATTGCTGAAGATAAGGAAATATACATTTAAAAGACTCTCGGGGCACCAGGTGGCTCAGTCAGTTAAGCGTCCATCTTTGGCTCGGGTTATGATCTCACAGTTGGTGAGTTCAAACCCCTGCACTGGGCTCTCTGCTGTCAGCTCAGAGCCTGCTTCAGGTCCTCTATCCCCTTCTCTCTGCCCCTCCCCATGTTGTGCACATGTTCTCCCTCAAAAAAATAAAACATTAAAAAAATAAGTAAAAATAATAAAAGACACTTAGCATGCTAATGGGAAGGGAAAGTTACTCTTATATGACAAGAACAGTCCTTGGGTATTCAAAAGGCTAATTTCAGAGGAAAAACAGACTCTGGCTGTTATCAAATGTTTAGTTTCTCAAGCAGGGTTTCGCTTCTGGAATGGCATGGGTGGCTTCCTCTGGTACAGGTTGGGAGAAGAGAGAGGAGAAATGGGGCAGAATCTGAAACACCAGTCAAGGGAGCTGGTGCTTTGGTATGGGATGGCAGCAGGAGTGAATGAAGGAAGATCAGGGGGTTTCCCCTTTGCTCTTACTGCCGCCCACGACCAGTTTGTGGCAATGTGAGCTCGTTCTATGAGTCAGGGAGCAAAATTCCAGATAGAGGCATTGGGTGCCTCAAGTGAGCTTTTGTGACTATCAGGCCTGAAGGTTGGATAGTGATAGTGTAAGTGTAGCCATCTCTATTGCTATGTCTATGTTTTGCAAAGTTGAGGCTTATATTGTTTCTTTGGGTTTATAGTTAGCAGTATGAAGGATTTTTTTTAATGTTTATTTTTGAGAGAGAGAGAGAGAGA